GGTGGTCGAATGGTACAAACTGACCAAACCCCAAGTTGGTGGTCTTGAGTTTAATTCCAGCCAACGGAAAGCCATGAAACTTCCTAGTTGCTGTGTTTGTTCTCGAGAATGAAGCAAAAACAGCCAGGCTTATTGTTTTTCTTTTGTTTTGGCTAAAAAATGTTAAAACATGAGAAGAATTATTAACTTGACCAATGTAATGTTAATAATGATATACTGATAATTATCAAATATATGTTTGTGTTGTTAACTAATTTTGTGGCAGATAAAATCATGTATCTCTGGTACAGTAATAAATATAATCATGGGTGGTGAGTAGCAGTAAAAAATCGCTGTAGGGGCAGGGGTTCTGTAGAGGGGGCACTGTAAGTAGGGGCAGGGGGTTCTGTAGAGGGGTCACTGTAAGTAGGGGCAGGGGTTCTGTAGAGGGGTCAGTGTATGTAATACTTTCACGCAGTAATAGTTTTGCATGGAAGCTGAAAACTGTCACATTTAGGTTAAATAAATTACCTTTTTTCAAGCTTCCACATACCTCGTTTCACTATTTCATTCTTTTACATTTAGGTTAAATAAATTACCTTTTTCAAGCTTCCACATACCTCGTTTCACTATTTCATTCTTTTACATTTAGGTTAAATAAATTACCTTTTTTCAAGCTTCCACATACCTCGTTTCACTATTTCATTCTTTTACATTTAGGTTATCAAAAAAAAAAAAAATTCATAAATGATATTATTTTTAAAAAAAATAAATAGAATGTATTTCCTGAATTAGTCAGTAAAACCAACCACATGGTCATAGCAACATATAAAAACCGAATCAATCAGAATACATAACTAGACTTAGACCATGGATATGCCTTTAAAAAAATCTTCGACTTATGATTAGACTCTAAGAAATGTAGACTTTGACTTATACTTATAATTATAATATATAAGATACAAGCAATAATACTAATAATATCACTAATACTAATACTATTACTATCATTCAATATTAATTAAAATTAATTCAATTAAAATCTTATGTTCAACACATCCAAAGTTCTAATTCAAAACAACCCATCATTCGGCTAATTACGTATTATACTTTTTTTTTAAATGGCCAACCTAGCGGTAATAAACCTTATTTGGCTAAATTCCCAGCAAACTGCGCATAACGCTTCCAATATGTAAACATTAATTGCAGCTACAATGTTATGGCAACTAAGCCAACTCGATTTAAATACTGGATATTCCAGCTTATAAACAATATTTTCTAAGATTCATTGGACTCAGAACCTACATACCCCATTTGTGTGATTTGTTACTGGATATAAAGGAGTTTATTCACTGGATAATGGAAGTAATAAATTGTTTTTAGGTTAACATACATACCTATAACTATATAGTATGCTTCTATGAGAAAAAAAAACATAGAAAATTACTGATAAGCAGGTAGGCCTACAGTTTATTTCATATGTACCTGATGAAAAGTGAGTGCATGCAAATATGTTACTGGATCAAACATAATACATAATCAAAATAAGCAGGAAAGAATACATACTTATTTCATAAATGTAACACTATATCTATATGAATAATACAAGGGTAAATAAACTATTGGCTCTGCCAGATTCAATATCTAAACAATTTAAATGGTTCTGTTATAGTAAGCTAAGCTAAATTAAACTAATGTGTCAGGTTGATTGGATTGTGATAAACTTAGTGGATAAAAGATATCTGCCTTGGAAAAAATACAAATAAAGTGACGACAATATGATTAGTAGAAGAAAACAACAACATTAAGCTAAATTAAACTAATGTGTCAGGTTGATTGGATTGTGATAAACTTAGTGGATAAAAGATATCTGCCTTGGAAAAAATACAAATAAAGTGACGACAATATGATTAGTAGAAGAAAACAACAACAGTGGCCAAGACTGTTAAGAGACGTATTCTTTCATTTTAATTATTTTTCAAGTGTTAGGATTATAAGCATATTTATTTTAATCTGAAGAAAACAAAATACTTGTCTGGAATAATAAAAAAGATCTTATAGCTTTATTCTTTTTAATTCCTCAGTAGAATTATTTAGGCAGTCACAAACTTGTTTGACAATAGTCATGTTTCTGCCGCAGCACTATGAATGATTATAACATGGCAATATCATGCTAAAACTGCAATGGTTTTTTGCAGTAAAAATATAATATAATGTGAAAATCTTTATTATGTATATAAAATAGAGAGAAACTTTTGTCCTGCCATTGTTATATAAATGAGTTTCTGGAAAACAGTGGTTTTCATATTTCATATCGATATGTTTATTTCTACCCAATGTGGAATAATTTTTATAAAAATATGTAAACATTATTCACCTTGCTTTATATTATTTGCTAATAGTAATTGTATTTCTCTCATGAAGTACTTACCTGGTTTTCTTTAACTTTAAAAAAAAAAATTTTTTTTTTTAAAATGCACTATTTTTTTTTAAAAGGAAGTATTCTTAAAAGTGGCATACTTAATAGAAATTATGGTAAAATTGCTTGAATTTTGTATATGTCTTGTACAAATGGATGACATTGGTGAATGCAATAAACATTTGAACTTGGGACTAAACACTTTTTTTTGTTTCTCCCTGTTTGTGGTATATTTACATTTTTGTTAAAATTTAGCACAGCAAAAAACTTAAACATTTGGCAATAAATAAAAAAAAAATACATAATTAACTGCGATCTCATAAATGGTATCAAATAATAGATAATTTAATTCTGAATCCAATGATATATAACTATTATTACTGCTATGTTATTCACTGAACAAGAAGTCAGATTGTAAAGGTACCTAATGAGAGAGAATAGAAATGGCAGAAAACCAAGAACATTTAAGAGTTAAGTATCAATGAGTTCAGCTCAATAAGCTCTGTCCCGTAAAGTCTGCTTACGTATCAATGAGTTCAGCTCAATAAGCTCTGTCATGTCAAGTCTACTTAAGTATCAATGAGTTCAGCTCAATAAGCTCTGTCCTGTAAAGCCTACTAAAGTGGCAATGAGTTCAGCTCAATAAGCTCTTTCATGTCAAGTCTGCTTAAGTATCAAAGAGTTCAGCTCAATAAGATCTGTCCTGTAAAGCCTACTTAGGTATCAAAGAGTTCAGCCCAATAACCTCTTTATTGAACCAAGTCACCAACGCACCCCAAAGCGTTCTGAATTTGTAACAAATTACATTTCAGTTCTTCAAATCTTTATCCACTATCACTTCGTCTAAGCAGGTTTTATATACTTCGCCTTAAAATGTTAGATCTTTGCTCTATACACACTTTGATCGTTAGCGCTTGTATGACAAACAGATAAACATTAAACAAAATTATATTCTTGCTCCTATGTATATTTGAAAAGCTACTTTTCTGACTCAATTTATTTTCAATGTGTTTATTCTTTCGTATATAGGATGTATCCCCAACACGAATACTGTGGACTTATTTTTCAAATATGAAGATTTAGGGAAGACGTACTACATCTCTAAGAACAATTACAGTACGGCCGCTGACGCCGAGGCTATGTGTACAACACTGTGTGCACATCTCGCTGAGATAGACGATAAATCAGAAGGCGATCGAGTCATCGCAATGATGGCGAGGCTAGACACTTTTGGTCTACTTATAGGCGGGAAGGACAACATCAAGGAGGGGCATTGGGTGTATGACAGGACAGGAAAAAGCGTCAAATACTTCGACTGGTGCACCGGGGAACCCAATAATTACGATGATGAAGACTGCATGGGCTACGAAAAGCACAGATCTTGCATGTTGGACTTTCCTTGCTTGTATCGCTATGCACCCTTTTATCTTCGTTACGTATGTGAAAAATAGATAATGTATCAATGTTGAGGTTCAGGATTTTAACCTTCAGATAAGCATGTCTTTGTTATCATCATGTATGTGTTATCTGTATGTGTTACGCACTGACTTGTATTGGGAGAAATTAATCTCCTATTTTAATTTTAATTGGCTCGTTGTAAGCAGTGCCTAACAAAGGACGATACCATAGAATCAACAATATTAAAGATACGACCCAAAACAGTTTCTAGTTACAATTAATTAAGATTTATTATGTCTTAAGATAATTACAAAATAAAATAAAATAAAATTACAATCTTCAACTTACAGTATGGGAGATCTCGTACCGGTACACAGTTAATACAATTAGAAATAATGATGCCAATAAATAATGCGAAATAAACACATATAAGTAGGAGCACACAAATACACAAAGAATAAAACACGCCTCGTAATGTTAAGAAAACCTATATGAAAAATCTCCGTCTCTTCCGTGCCTGTCAATCCCTTATATAGGTGGGTCTACCGACGCCTAAGCCCTGCCTTCGACAAGCTACATGACATCTCTAGAACCATCAGAATGATTCTACAAAACACTACTTGGAACAGATTAATTATTTTTAGTAGTTTGGCGGTGTAAACAAGAATACTTCAAAGGCCTAAGCCACACTCCTTTGTGAACACAGCGTCTCATGCGGGGTCAATCAGAGGGCACGCACGAGAAATATTATGTAAACAAGCTCTCTATAACACCTCCCCTCTTAAAAGAAAAAAATTTCATTGTTCAAAAATGGAATTCTTTTTCCATTAAAATTGAAGAAAGTACATTTCTTACTCTCAAAATATAAGACAAAAAGCTTCTTAACAGCTTATAAACAATAACATAAGTGAAAATTAATTTCTGGACAAAGTATCTGCAATGACATTGTCTTTGCCTTTAATATGTTTGATGTCCAAATTATATTCTTGTAAAAATAGGCTCCATCTTAACAATCTTTGATTTTTGGAGACCATCTTATTCAAAAATGTTAAAGGATTGTGATCAGTAAAAACAAGTACTGAATGTAAAGAACAACTGACATAAAAATCAAATTGTTGGAGAGCAAGAATTAAACCTAAACATTCTTTTTCTACAGTGGAATAGTTTTTCTGATGTGAGTTAAATTTCTTTGAGAAATAAGAGACAGGATGATCTACATTGTGGTCATCTTCTTGAAAAAGAACTGCACCAATGCCAACATCACTGGCATCTACAGCTAATTTAAACTGTTTGTTAAAGTCTGGTGCAATGAGAACAGGAGCATTAGCAAGTATATTTTTAATGTTTTCGAATGCTTCCTGACAAGCATCTGACCAATGAAATTTTGCATTTTTCTTTAACATATTACTTAAAGGAGAAGCAATAACTGAGAAATTTTTGCAAAATTTTCTATAATAACCTGCCATTCCCAAAAATCTCATTAACTGTTTTCTAGTAGTGGGTGGTGGAAGTGATACAATAGCATTTATCTTAGCTTGAACAGGCTTTACATGACCTTGACCCACTATGTGACCTAAATATTCCACAGTTGCATGACAAAATTCACATTTATTTAAATTTACAGTTACATTTGCCTGCAAAAATTTTTTAAACAGAGATCTTAATTGGTTTACATGAGTTGAAAAATCTTGACTGTAAATAATTACATCATCAATATAGGCGCTGCAATTTTCCTGGTCAGCAATAATGTTATTTACAAGACGTTGGAATGTAGCTGGGGCATTTTTCATTCCAAACGGCATTACTTTATATTGATATAAACCATCTGGAGTACAAAAAGCAGAGATTTCTTTTGCTCTGTCAGATAGAGGAACCTGCCAATAACCTGATAGTAAGTCTATCTTGGTTACATATTTGGCATCACCTATTCGATCTATAAGATCGTCTATCCTTGGAATCGGAAAGGAATCAGTCTTTGTGAATGCATTCACTTTCCTGAAGTCAGTACAAAACCTGTAACTTTTGTCAGGCTTTGGGACTAAAATACATGGTGAACTCCAGTTACTAGAGCTTGGTTCAATTATATCATTTTCAAGCATGTATTTTATTTCAGACCGGATTATTTCAAGTTTTTCCGGATTGACCCTATAGGGGTGTTGCTTGACCGGAACTGCATTGCCAATGTCAACATCATGTACAGCAATGTTGGTTTTATTAGGTACATCAGGGAAGAGTAAAACAAAATCTGCAATAACAGACTTAACAACATCCTTCTCTGACAATGACAAATGTCCTAGTTTCTTATCTAAGTTGGCCAATATTTCTGAATTTTTAAGTTTATAATTACCAACTTTTTCTGGGACACTATCAAAGGTTTCAGTAACATTTTCTTTAAGTACTGAAGTTACAGTTGAGATTGTGTTAACATTTGTTTCTGAGGATGGACAATGATCATCACATTTTCTATCAAAATATTCTTTTAACATGTTAATGTGACATAACTGTTTCTTTCTTTTACGATCTGGTGTTAACACAATGTAATTTAAATCATTGATTTTGGACTCAACAACATAAGGACCAAAATATCTAGCTTGTAGTGCTTGCCCTGGTATCGGCAAAAGCACAAGCACTTTGTCCCCTGAAGCAAACTGTCTGAATTTTGACTTTTTGTCATACCAAACTTTCATTTTAGATTGTGAATCTTTTAAATGTGTTTTAGCCAAATTAACGGCATTAAAAAGTTTAGTTTTAAATTTTTGGACATAGTCAAGAAGTCCTTCCGTGGGTGTCGATGACATCCACGTGTCTTTTAAAAGTTTAAGGGGACCGCGAACCGTGTGGCCAAACACCAGTTCGAAGGGGCTGAATCCAAGTGATTCTTGAACTGCTTCTCTTGCGGCGAACAGTAGCATGTTGATGCCTTCATCCCAGTCTTTCTCTTGTTCTAGGCAGTAGGTTCTCATCATGTTCTTCAACGTCTGATGGAATCGCTCAAGTGCTCCCTGTGACTCAGGATGATATGCACTCGACAAGCAGTGTTCTATGCCCAACTGGTTCATCACTTGTTTGAATATTCCAGCCTTGAAGTTGGTTCCTTGGTCAGACTGTACAGACTTCGGAAGACCAAACAATGTAAAAAACTTCGTCAAGGCTTTGACGATGTTCGGAGTCTTGATATTGCGAAGAGGAATAGCTTCTGGGAATCTTGTTGACGCACACATGATTGTCAGCAAGTATTGGTGACCTGATTTTGTCTTTGGCAGAGGTCCAACGCAGTCTATAATAACGCGACTGAAAGGTTCTTCGAATGCTGGAATGGGTTGAAGAGGAGCTGCTGGTATCTTCTGATTTGGTTTCCCTACAACCTGACAAGTATGACATGATCTGCAGTATTCAACCACATCTTTCTTGATTTTGGGCCAAAAGAAGTGCGACGTGATTTTGTGATATGTCTTCTTTACTCCCAAATGCCCTGAAAGTGGTGAGTCATGGGCTAAGTTCAGGACTTCGTTCCGGAATGGGGTAGGAACTACTATTTGATGAACTATCCTCCATTCTTCGTCAGCATTTGCGTCTGGAGGTCGCCATTTTCTCAAAAGTATGTCATCTTGAAGGTAATAACATATAGGGAATTGTTCAGCTTCTTCTTGGGTCAAAGCGTTCTCTCGAAGTTTGACTATTTCTGGATCACTCTTCTGTTCTTCAATAAGTTGCATTCGAGTTGGAGTCTTGTAATTACTAGCCTCTTCATTTAGACTTGCAAAAAATGTTTTTCCCAGGTCAATTTCAGGAAGAATTTTATTGCTTTTTTGTGAAATCTCTTTTGTGGAGATCTTGGAACTCATGGCCCTTGTCACAGCACATGCTGGATACAATTCTTGATCTTCTTCCTGATTTTCATTTAAACAAGGTTCATGAGTAACGATGGGCTCGGCTATCACCTTCCCACCAGCTAAGTCATTGCCTAGCAGCAACGAGATGCCGTCCAATGGTAATGTTGGTCGGACACCCACAACCACAGGTCCGGAGACTAAGTCTGATTTTAGGTTGATGAGATGTAAAGGTACATCTATGCATCCCAGCTCTACACCTCGTAACAGGATGTTGCTCCCAGTAGCAGTAGATTCAGACAAGGGAAGTATACCCTCAAGTAGTAAGGACTGTGAAGCACCTGTATCTCGTAAGATTTTGATTGGTTGTAGACTGGAAAAATCACCTGGCAGTGATACGAATCCTTCCGATATGAAAGGCATGAAGTCTTGTATGACATCAGTAGTTTCTGATGTAGAATTTTGGACCTTGGTAGGTAAACTCTTGTTGGAGTCTTGAGAACATTCGGCTAGGGTAGAGGAAGTAAAACTCTGGGTAGAGTCGTCAAAACTTGCACACAAGTCCTCAGTAAAACGCCCTCTGGAGGTAGACCTCTTCTTGGAGCAAAAGGATCTTGGCGACAAGCTCATAAAACTCGCAGTCGAAGCAGGAACTTGGCTGGAGTCAGTAAAACTAGCCTTATTGTTCATTTTGAAACTCTTTGATGAGTCGTGACAAACCTCTTTGAAGTTTGTATGGACATCTGGAGAGCAAAAACTCTTGAATTTTGAAAATGTGTTTCCAGATGTATGACGAGACGTACAAGCGGAGACTTTGTGTTGTGTACCAGGATGTGTGGTCTTCTCAGTTTTCTTCTTGAGTTTCCAGCAATCATCCCTCGTATGTCCTTCTTTTTTACAGTAGGCACATGTGTCTTTTGCACCAATTTCTTTCGTACCGGGCTTGAATGGTTTTTGTGGAGGTTTACTGTAAGTTGATACAGCTGTCTTATTGTGCCTGTCTTTTCTTGTGTCAAATGGATTCTTGGAAAGTTGACAAGTGATGGTGAAGTCGTCGGCCAACACTGCTGCCGTATGTGCGTCACCTTCGCCACGGTCTGCAATATGTATTCGCACCTCAGTACGAACACAGTTCTTGAACTCCTCCATCAGAATGAGGTTCTTGAATTTCTTGAAGTCTG